TTTGCTTTACTTTTAATTTATTTTTTTTCAAATATTGTTTCGTTTTTTCCAAAAAAAATACAAAATTCCCCCCCCCCCCCCAGTTAAGATTTCCCAAGGTTTTGCCTGATTTTCAAAATTATTCCCCAGATCCCAAGGGGGGTCGGGAATTCCCAAGATCTTGGGAAATTTCCCAAGGTGTGGTAGCCCTGGTCCTAGCTTCTACTTCTAGTAAGTTACTTGATTTGAATCATTACATTAACTTTTCGTCAAATAGTATTCAATATGATTACTAAAAATAGCTGGAAATTTCGACGGTTTTTAATAATAAACTTTAAATATTTATTTTATATCATCAATATTATTAATTTTCCTTATTATTATGTTCGAAGAGATAATTTAAACTAAAAAAAACCCAACAAAATTTTAAAAATTTAATGCATTTTTAATGAACTCGCCCATCATAATGACGTCGAAGGTCAAATCTCGTCCATTTTAGAAACTAGGGGTGACCTCCGTCATTGCAGTCACGTTCTCCCCTAAGTAAGCACCTCTGCATTAAATTTAATAAAACAACCGTAAGTACCGTTTTAAAAATTTGGTCTACCGTTTAACAAGTTTTATTTATTTCTTGGGATACAAGTAATGGAGTCGACAAGAAGGTTGTTCAATTAGACCGAGTTAAGAGTTAGGCCTACTTAAAAATTCGGTTACACACCGGTCACAATCACGCCTCTTAGTCCTTAGTCCTTAGTCTTATTTAAAGTTATTTAGTGAGCAGTCGGAGTCTCAGAAAACAAGTTCGTCATCCCAGAGACTTAGACTTATGACAATTTTCGCATCGGTCCTCGTCACACTGACATTGTAGCACTGAGAGTTGTCTCGTTCTGAAAAATTTATTTGGAAGTTACATAATCATAATCATTTATTCATGTATTGAATATTGCATCATTATTACTAACACTAACATATTTTCATCATTGACTTTGACAATGACAATAGTCAATAAATAACACTAAACTTTCTAAACATGCAAATCATTCTCATACTCGTCTTAGTGTAGTCTATGCAATTTTACTACATAATTTGTCAATATGTGTCTATACACTAGTCTACAGTCACGACATTAATATTAATAGGCAATAGGCTTGAATAGGCCAGGTAATCTAAGTCTAAAATAAAAATTTCATAATGATTATAGTGAAATCAATTATAAAATTTAAATAAAATTCAAATATTCCCCTAAGCTTAAACAGAGCTTGGCCTTGGCTTCACTTTCTGCAGTCTGAAGTTTTTTTCACATTTCTTAAAAATCTTAAGGCTTAAGGTGATTTTTTAAAATAATTAACTAACTTAATTAACTTATCTGAAATAGCGCTGATCTGATCAGTTATATAATAAATTATATATTAACTTGTTCATCTTTTACTCAGCTATCATTATATAATATTTTTTATATATTTTATTTTTCTTAGTTATAAAAAAGTAATTGACACATTGAAACATTATTGGAGAATTAACTCTTTCGGTGCCAATCGACAGTATACTGTCCATTTGAGTGGTCACGTTCGTGCCAACCCACAGTATACTGTCGATATCATTAATGTAGTTTATTTCGTTTCCTGTGGCTCTTAATCCGACTTTTTTTGTTTTTAAACGAAGGATAACTCTTACAACTTCCTTTCTGTTACAAGTAGGGCTTGTTTGCGAGTGTTTTTCTAATAATATTTCGATTTTTGTTGAAAATTTTGTAAACAAAGCCATGGCTACGCCCACTCCAAGCATGTCAGTGTCAGCTGTTGCTAGACCACGGAGGTAGTCAATTTTGCAAATAAAAGAACTTTTATTGCTAATTATTGATGCTGAAACAACAGACAATAACCATGAATCATTTGAATCTGATTCCAATGATGATTTTCAGCATTCTGAAAAAAACACCCAGATCAACTTTCTAGCTCAAGTAGTTCAAAAGTTATGAATTTTTTTCAAAACCACTTTGTTACTATGGCAACAGTGAGGATTCAGATAAGAATACTCCTAACGTTACAAAAATGGGTATAACTCCGTAACAAAATGGAATATTTTCAAAATGTAAAATGCATTATGATAAAAAATGGATATACATTTTGGGGATTGAAGCAGAATAGGATATCAGCAACACAGACCATATGGTAGTCTGATAAGTTCAGATTTTGTGTGCAATTTTAAAAATAAAAAAAAATTTTATCTCACAATTTTACCTAAAAAATTTAACTTATTGTTGTTATATTGTTTTATATTTTACATATTATTCTCTGTCTAATTTCATTTAATTTGATATGAAATAAAGCTATCTTGCTAAAAGAAATGTATTCAAAATTAATTAATAGATAGGAGCACCCTAAAAAATTGCCCATGCCCGAATACTGGTCTGGCACGAACGTGGAAAACCCCCTGGCATGGAAAGAGTTAAACAAAAAAAATTTATGCAAAGTTTTGACACAATTTTCACACAGTATGAAGGAAAAAAAATATCCTTGTTATAAAAGGTTTAAAATTTATTTAAATAAAATACTTCATCATCAAATACAATTCATAGTCAAACATGACAAACGTTCTATGCACAATCAAAAAGTTGTCAACATTTTAGCAAAACCTATATTTTGTCTTTTTTATTTTAAAAAATGCACAATAATTTTTCTTTTAATTAAAATTGTTTTTACGTAATATATTTTAAAAAATGGGCCTCATAGCTTATAGTTATAGATTTGTATATTAAATATATTTCTTAATAATTCTTGAGTAAAAGATAACTAAGTAAAATCTGATGATTATATAAATAACTCAAAACAATGTTTTTTTTTTAAATTTTAAAATAGCAGTATTCCCTGATGCTAAAGTTAAAAAAAAAATTTAATGTTGCAGTACAATAATGCTAATTTTGATATTAACCCTTTACAGTCCGATGCGCCCGAAATGCGCCGATTTTTTCCTTAAGCGTACAGTCCGATGCGGCCAAACCCGCCAGTTTCGAGGTTGTTTACTTTCGTTCTTAGCACAGCGGAAGTCCATTGCGCATTACTATTTATAGTTCTACCGGAAGAAAGCCTCGTTGTCGGCATTTATTTCGATACTAGTTTGACCGCGGTGTGTTTAGGGGCTGATTTTCTATGATTAGCACAGCGGAAGTCCATTGCGCATTACTATTTATAGTTCTACCGGAAGAAAGCCTCGTTGTCGGCATTTATTTCGATACTAGTTTGACCGCGGTGTGTTTAGGGGCTGATTTTCTATGATTTTTTTAAAAGTCGCGATTTTTTCGCTGTAAAAAATGGCTATCTAAGCTTTGGATACACATTTGAAAGAACTTAGGCCTAATGAAGCTTCACTATTTCATGAGTGGGAGGGTCTCTGAAACTATTTTTAGGTTTAACTTTTGCTTTAACTTTAATCATTTCTTTGTATTTAGGTATTTTTTATTTTATTTTGTTGCTTCTAGTTTATTTTCTGAAAATTAATTAGATAAAGAACCTTCATTTAAAATGGAGTAAGAACTTAGGCCTAATGAAGCTTCACTATTTCATGAGTGGGAGGGTCTCTGAAACTATTTTTAGGTTTAACTTTTGCTTTAACTTTAATCATTTCTTTGTATTTAGGTATTTTTTATTTTATTTTGTTGCTTCTAGTTTATTTTCTGAAAATTAATTAGATAAAGAACCTTCATTTAAAATGGAGTTATGTCCCTTTGCTTGTGCGCTGGGAGTAGACAAGGCTGAATAGGTTGGACTGTAAAGGGTTAATGTAAAAAATGATCCATTCCTCACTAATGTGATCTATTTTTTCCCATGTACCAGTATTTTTATATATCTTTGTTATAATCCTCACTTTACACAGGCGGATAAACTACAGTATTCCTTAATTATATTTATGGACTCTGCACAAATATTACTTCTTAAAAACCGGTAAAAACAAGGCTACATCTCTGTTGCGCGTCGTAAACGACCTTCTGTCGTCTTGTGATGAGGGCAAGGTATCGATTTTGTCTTTACTCGATTTATCGGCAGCTTTCGATACACTCGACCACGGCATATTGCTCCAGCGTCTGCAACAAACGTTCGGTCTCACTGATACCGTCCTGTGTTGGTTCCGATCGTATCTGACTAATCGGGTGCAGTCAGTTATTTCAAACGGCTTGACTTCGAAGAAATCTAATATCGAATTCGGAGTACCCCAGGGCTCGGTCCTAGGCCCAGTGCTTTTCACGATGTACATTCAGCCACTGGGCGCAGAGATCAGGCAGTTTGACATGTTGTATCACATGTACGCGGACGATACACAACTTCATCAATCCGTGATCCCTTCTCAGTTCCCTCAGCTGCTCAGTATGACACAGAAGACAATGGAGTCGGTTAAGCACTGGATGACGATAAACAAGCTCAAATTAAATGATGATAAGACTGAGCTGCTCCCCATCGCGACCGCTCAGAAGCAAAAATCTGCAAATAACACTACATCCATTACTCTCTCAGGTGTGCGTATTGAGTTAGCTCAAACAGTGCGGTACCTGGGTGTCTACCTAGATGGAAGACTAACTTTTGAAAGTCATATTAACATGCTATGCAAGGCGATTTTTCTAGAGCTGCGCAGGATTAGTCACATCAGGCCCTTCCTAACAATTGATGCAACAAAGAGGCTGATGTCTGCATTTGTGCTATCACGCATGGACTATTGCAATGCTCTTATGGTGGGTCTTCCAGCTACGCTCCTGGATAAAATTCAAATAGCACAGAATAATGCGGCTCGCATTGTTCTCCGCAAACGCAAGTTTGACCATGCAAAAACACTTCTGAGAGAGCTGCACTGGCTGCCAGTGCGTGCTCGCATGGAGTACAAAATCGCAACTTTGTGCTACCGCTGCTTACATGACCTGGCGCCGTCCTATCTGAAAGAGCTGCTGACGCCTTATGTACCCACTAGAGAGCTCCGCTCATCCGATAGTGGCAAACTCTCGACACCACGTGTTTGCCTTGAGACTTACGGAAAGCGCACTTTCGCATTTGCTGGTCCAACAATTTGGAATGCCCTTCCTGTCGATCTCAGAAACAACCAGACACTGGAGTCCTTTAAAACCGATTTAAAGACACATCTATTTCGCAAACACCTTCTGGGATGATTGTCAACATTATTTTCCAGTTAATGCATAATGGCTGTGTTGCTTATGGTTGAAATGGCTAGAAAGACTTTGCCATTGTATGCTTGTACTTAGTTTTTGTCGTGTTGCGTTTGTTTTAAATGTGGTAAACTATAGATTTGTTGTTTTTTTTTTACTTTGTACCGCGCTTCGAGCCTTTGGGGATGAAGCGTGTTTTTGAAATGAACTTTATTATTATTATTAAAATAGTCTGCAGTTTTATTATAATAATTATATTTGATAAATAAGAGCTTGCCCTGGACTTGATTTCCACATAAGATTAGGTAAGATTTTTCACCACAGAATATTCGCTCAATAAAGAACCTGTGAAAAAAAAAAATTGATTGATTCATAAATAAACACTAATGCTATCAGTAATGGTATGCTATCAGTAAGGGAAAATACCATTAATCCTAGTCCAAATGCCTAAAAATAAAATTAAACCATTGTACATAGGAAATACATTATAACATATATTATAACAATATTGTGAGTTTATTCTTTATGCATTTTTCTACCAAGTGATTAGATTAAAACTTACCACCACTTGTTTTTCGTGTAAAATCTTTAAAGATATTCATCCAGTAACTGTAACTCAGTAAAAGTATGCAATATTAGAAAATTTAGAAGATTATTCTTGGCTGTAACATATTTTAAAGAAATATATTTAGTTAATAACTCAGAAGTCCTTAACTTTAAATTTATTTTAATTCCGCAAGTTCCCATTTGCCGCGATTTAAAAAACAAAATTATTTCGCATAGCGACGCTATTTATTTATTATATAATTATTGAAACTCAATGAAATTCAAATATAATATATCAATACAAGTATAAACGGATAATGTATACTTCAGCCAATTAAAATTATAAAAATATCACTTTGTTTTATTATTAATTTTAAAGTCCGGAAATTATATTTAAAATTAAACTTACTTGTATACAATAGCATTAGTCGGTACTTTAAATGCAAATCGGGATAAATTTCATGATGAGAGTCTCCATTTGGATACATTACTTTAGTAAAACAAATAACTCCTTGATAAATCGGGAAATTAAAATCATATGACAATATTCATGAATTTATGAATTTTTATTTTTCAAAATTAATTCATACAAAAATGAGCAGACGCACAAATGGTTGATTCTGGGTTTGCGGTAAGGCCGACGATGTGTTCCATGGCTTACACGGAGGTTTCCCCAGGTCCACTTCCGTCTCTAGCGCCGTACTACAGTACTAAAAAGATTTTGATGTTTGTATTCACATTTCTTAATGCAAGTTATTTTATTCTTATTTTATATTTTTGTTAAATTGGGGAGGGGTTTCTACTCCCTAGAGGATTTCTTTCTTTCTTATTTTTGGTATTTAAAATGGGAGGACGGGTCTCCCCAGTCCCTAGAAGATCATTCCAAATGCACTTTTGTTACTGAAGTTTCAACATATTAATATGGCACATGGGTATTTTGATTGTCAATTAATCAAAATACAGCACTTTTGGCGCACATATTTTTTTTCACCGGTGTTGGTTCTTGGGGTATCGGCAAGGATGTGTTTCTTTACTCCTTGCTTTTGAAACATGTAAGTTGAATTTTAATACAAATTAATGGAAAATTTCATTTTAATATACTTCATATTAACCGTATCGTTCATGACACGAAATATGCTCAATAGAGAACAGGAATGTTATAACACACATGATTTGGGTCCTACAATTAATAGGTCTATTCACCCAAAGTCCAGTGTTGGGATTCCCCAAAGTGACGTCACTGCGCTTAGGGTGAGACAACTCTTGGCAAAACGCATACTGTTAACCCAAAATTTACTGCACAATTTGACAAATTATGAAAAGGGAGACAAAAATTCAATTTTAGTGTTACTTAATTTTTAAAACATCCTAAAAAATTATCTTTAACAAGTTCGAAATATTAGTTCGAGATAATGATCAAGGCCATCTAAAGTTTATTATTGTGAAATTGGCTGACAGAGGATAAATTATAACTAACTAGAATTATCTTAACCAAGTATGGTCACAAAACATGAACATTTTAGAGAATTTCTAAAAATCGCAGAAAATTAACCAAGTGAGATGTCTAAATAAACTTTTAATCATATTGTAGAAACTGATAATGTTGTTAAATAAATGTTAATTAGAAATCAGCAGGTTAAAAAATATAAATAATGCTTAAGAAATGTCTTTAAAATAAAATTAGAATTTACAACATAATTTGTATAAATTTAGTTAAGAAAGCTGCAGTTGAATACTGGCAGTAGAAATTATATGACAAAGTAGACAGTAGATAAACCTATAATATAAGTTGTTTGAAGTCTGATGCTCCTATTTGAATTTGCATGTCTGAATGAGTCGGGGAACATTTCCTTACACTGTTTCAGGCCAAATTTCCACAATTCATAAATCAACAACCTGTGAAAATTCCAAAAAAGAATTTTATTATAAATTATTATGATTTTAATAGTTAACTGAACTTGGCATTTATGATCATGTCATTGCTTGCAATGTCATAAATAACATTATTTTAATATGGGTATTACCCGTAATAGTTAACTTATAATTTATGATCATGATTTTAATTGTAATATTTAACTTAGACTTAGAATTTATGATACTATCTTTGCTATGAATGTAATAACAAAATACACAAATAATTTTACTGCAACTAACTTGCACCAGTGGATAGCTAACATGTTGTTGCTGACAGTCTGTTTTGAACTTAGTCTTATGGCAGTGTATTGACAACTGAACCTTCCTTTTCTTGTGTTCGATATTGATATCTGTCCCAGGTTTACAAACAAGATTTTTAACCCACGAACTGTGCTTCTGTGCTGTGCAGGCAATTTAGAGCTTTTTGGGTGCTTTTTCACATTAATAAAAACACACATTGTTAATTTGGTAGGGCTGAGCCCGTTGCAGTTTATTACATTCTATTCCTTGTCCTGGTGTAATAAAAACAAATGGTTATCTCTCAATTTCTATAATTTTTTTCACACCATGGGAAGAAGAGAAAAGTGTAGTATCCCCGTTTCCGTATTTTTAGAGTAGTGTCAATAGGAAACAAGTCTATCACTGTAAATATTTAAAATAAAATTTTAAATAGGTAAAATGCCCCCTTTTTTCAAATTTCTGAAATCCTCATGCTACCCCTGGCATTTTTTTAGGCGATCCAGAGGGGGTTGTGACCCATAGGTTGAGAAGTACTGACAACATAAAATAATCATTAAACAAACATGGAGCAGAGCTGAGCTAGATTTTATGCATTCGTGTTGCTGGTTACTGTTTGGTAGTATGGAAGCTGCTAATATGCAGATCCTGGCTCAACCGTGGTAATTAGGCTTATAATAATACATGCCAACTTTGGGGACCAAAACCTATACAAAAAGTCCCAAAAAAGTGTAAAAACAGCATGAAAAATTAAAAATCGAATAAAGTATGATTATAACTTATAGCTTTTTCATAATTTTTACCAATGTTTTGAATACCTGAATAAAAAGTGAATTATCTCCCCTTCGCTGCCCACACATTTTGGCTAAATGGGATTTTAAAATAAAAATAGCTTGTTTTAAGTCAAATTTTTATTACATTTTTTTTACATTGGTTACTAGCAGTTTTAATTTAAAAAATAGGGAGTTAGATGAATTTGATAGCAATTTAGATGTAAGTTATTGATTTCTATTTACCATCAACATTTAACCTCATTTTTCACCGTACATTACTGAAGGAAATTGTCATGAGGATAGTTTTTTTTTTTAAAACTCTATACAATATGTGAATAGAAAATGTTAATAGAATGTTTTTAGGTGGAGTAAAATAATGAATACAAAAGTAATATGATATAGTATAGCTTACAACGAAGATCACACACGCTTTTAGTTTAGAAAGCATCATCATGTTAAATTAAGCCATGCGATTGTAATAAATAGGAATAATGAGTAATGTTGGTCATTAATAGTAATATTAAATAAATTTATTTAATAGAAGTTCAAAAAGCACTTGCTAACACTGCAGTTCTTGTAATTGATTGATTACACAAAAAGATTTTTAATTGTTGTTTACTAATCAAAGTAGTTACTGCTGTACTACGTGGTCTTAGTATTGCCCAGTAATGAATATCAATGAAACTGCACTGTTTCTAAATTTAGATGGCCAATGAGTTTTAAGGTCCCTTTTTTCCAGGATTTACAGAGTATGGGTAAACGGTTCAGGTTGGCATGTAAGCCTATAATTTACATCCTCAAAAATGTTTGTTTTAAATTTATTTTATATATTTTATATACCAGTATTATGGACTAAATCTGAGAAGCATATGCTTGTCATATATCTACTTAACTTAAATTTAAAAACGTTTAATTATGCTTATGGTTTCCTAAATAGTTTTGGCATGTCTTCTGGAATTTATATTTTTTAAAAACGTAGTTAAAAACTGCCAAAATATAATAATAATTTTTTAGGGCCAAAATCAACATCCAAATTTTCTTTTTAGCTTTTGACCTACTTTCAACATTTTATTTTCCGCCATGAGACGGAAACCAACCCCCCCCCCCCCCCCCCCCCCCCCCCCCCCCCCCCCCCCCCTATAAAATCCTTTTTTTTTTTTCTTCAAAATTTTTGTGGCCCTCGAAAAATTTATGAATGGCAAAAAGCCCACACTGTCGCTGGCCTAGATGACAAAAAAATTTTGACTAGGATTTTAATTATAGCTATTATATAAAGATGTTTTACACAAACAAAAAAATAGTGCCTTTACAAACTTAATCTGAAACTCTTGGTTAATTTTCCATATTCCTTTGTTAAAATTTGTGAAATGTTTAATTTTTAAAATATTAATTAAAATATTAAACTATAGGCTCTGGGGCCTGATGACTAATATTTAATAGAAACTGCCAACCGAAAAGTTCAGTGCATCTCTTTAACAAATTCACACTCTTGTAAAGTTGTTTATTTTTAATTATTTTCAGAAAAAAAACAATGGGGGATCCTGAGAAGGGTAAGAAAATTTTTGTGCTAAAATGTGCTCAATGTCATACCGTAGAGGCTGGCGGCAAACATAAGACTGGGCCCAATCTTCATGGTTTGTTTGGAAGGAAAACTGGTCAAGCTGCAGGATTTTCATACACACAAGCAAATAAGAACAAAGGTAACATTGTTATTTCAACCTCATTTCTTCTTCAGAGTGTTATATTATATCTATTTTGAAATATATTATATCTATTTTGAAATATGTAATATCTATTTTCATATCTTTCATAAAATATATTAAATTTATGGTACTAAAATTCATACTCGAAAATCATGTATCTTTTTCAGTTTCTAATATTTATTTAGGCTTAACAGAAATAATTGTAATTATGTCTTGCTTAACACGTGACCCTTTATTTCCACATAGCGTATAGAGAGTTTAAAAAGCTCATCTCCATGTCCATTAGGTTATAGGACAGTAAACTAAATAATGTTATGAATTTGGAAATAAAGGTTAAAATCGGTCCACGCCAATCAGCATCATGTGGATATCACTTTATTGTGTTAATGTGATTAATGTTGAAATTACTTTTTTAAAATTTAATTAAGGTGACTATACTTATACTTAAAGTGCTCCATATAGGGAGAGATTTATTGTTTAATTTTTAAATTAAATTTCAGGAATTACCTGGGAAAAAGATACCCTATTTGAGTACCTTGAAAATCCTAAAAAGTACATACCTGGAACTAAGATGGTGTTTGCAGGCTTAAAGAAGAAAGATGAGCGTAATGACCTTATAGCATACCTAGAAGAAGCTACTAAATAATAAAGTATTCCACTAGCTGGCAGTTTACTATGTATTTACTACAGGATATCTGGACAAACTACTTTTTTTATATAGAGATATATATTTATGAAATTTTGGTGACTGTTGAACTTGCTATGAAAGTTGGTTTGTGTAGATGAGTCACTGTTGACTACCGAGTATTAGATATTTATTGACATGTTTTGTTTGTATTGCTTCCTCAAATTTAAGTTTAAGTATTTATAACAAAAATATGACTATTACTGAGCAATCCTGTTTGGAAAGATGAACATAAATAAAAAAAAAATAAAGATCTTACTGCATTCTAATACTTTTTCCATCATTGCTGTTCTCTAATTGACGGTGAAGAATTGAGACTTCAACTCATATTTGTTAAAATATAATAAATAAAAAAAAAGAGGTTGCATGAAAACATGTTTATTTTGTTTATTTACTTTTGTTTTATTGGTTAAACTAAAAAATGTGATGTTTAAGCTGCTGTCATGTTTGTTATGAACTATTAAGGATCATAGACATTTAAATGATAAATCATAAGGATTTGACATCACTTTTAATTTAAAGAATTTTAATTACATACTGGTAGTTCATATGAGTTTGCTGTCCTTGTTAAATGTATTCAAATTAGAATAAATTGTTAAATACCAATTAAGCTGTTACTGTTTGGTACCCTACAGTAAAGTGTGACAAGCCTTTTGAAATATAATTTGTTGTTCAATACCTGTTGACCAAAAACAGAAGTTAGAAATTTTAACAATTTTAATTCAACAAAAAATAAATTAATTGAAATAAGTTTATTTTCAACTAACCCAATTATATTATATAACATTCAAGTAATGCAACTGTACATGTATTTCGAAAGTTAAAAAAAAAAGTATTATAGTTAAAGTGGGAAAAGCACATTTTCATAGATTTTGCTAATGTCATTTTGTTTAAGTTTATTATTATATAAGGGAGGGTCTTTCTATTGATAAATATAAAATGGCACACTTGTTTAAAGTTTATTAATTATTATAACAATGGAGTCAAGTTTGAAAAACAAACTATTCCATTATCATATTATAATGAGACAAAATTAAGGCATAAAAACAATTATAATTTTACAAAATAATGCTGATACTGATTAATGTTCCTGCTGAAAAGTTCAGAAGTAATGTGCAATTTAGATTACCTGTAAATTATTTGTGTTAAAGTTATCGAGATTAATTTCAAACAAAAATTTAGAATGAAGATTAAACCTTTGGTAAGTAGATCTCGAAGAGTTGCATAATTTTTTTTAATGAAATCTGTACCGTACCAGTACTAACTATATCTTGTAAATTTGAGTAAAATTCATTTTATTAAAATTTAAAAATGATAATTATAATACTCCAAGTCCAACATAAGTCCAACATAACCTAGGTCAACAAAAATATTTTCTCTTGTTTTAGCTTTTGACCAGTTCATAGGGTGAATTTAATGCTATGTTATATATTCTTTATCAAAACCTGGAGCTTTTTTTGGATAAACTTGTAATTTTTGGTCTATGCAGTTCAAATATACCCCCCAAGGAATAAGTTTGACATTTGAGGCACCAAAATGTTTTGGTCAGTGCAGTACTATGATGTTTCAGTGATTTTCTACTACTACCGGTACTAGTATATATTACATTTTTTATAAATTCAATTGGTTTTGTGTGCTTATAACTATTTATTACTGAAAAAGTAGTAGGTAGCAGGACATTGGACTAGAAGATTAAAAATTGGCTCCGACTCCATAGCAGCTCTGAATAATTTAAAAAATCAAAATAAGACTCCATAGCAGCTCTGAATAATTTAAAAAGTCAAAATAAATTTACATATTACGTAGTGAAACATTTTTTATTATATTTAAGCAATTTAAAGGAAAATAAAATAATGATGCTGGTATAACTTTATAATGATGCTGGTATGACTATTAATCAGCAAAATCTTGAAGAAATAAAATATTTTCCAAAATAAATCTGCGAAGAACGCAAATCGCTAGCTATAACTAAACTAAGTGAAGAAAGCAAATCGGTCGCTATTAACTAAGTGAAGAAAATAGACTCTACGCTTGCTTGCGAGACTAGCAAACAAGTGACTATTCTACACACCTCTTGAATATTTTTTGGGTAGTGTTCAATTCCCTCGAAAGCTGATTTGATTTTTAAGTTTTAAGCGTCTTTTTTCGTCCATTTCTTTATAGGCATCTATGAAAATTTGGTTAAAAGAATCTTTACTTGTGAAATTTATTTTATCGTTGGTCTAATGTATTCTCCTTTTCTCTTTATTTTATCTATCTCCTTTTCAAAATCGTCCTCTTCATTAGAATTAGATTCAGATGAAATTGAAAGGAAGTGTTGTAGATGTTTCAGTTGTTCTTTCTATTTTTGGCATCCCTCTTTTATGTATTTTTTCTATCACTGTTTTTAACCATTGTTTTGCCCTTTTGACCTGGTTTTCTTCTAATAGAATCCTATATCTTGCATCAGCATCAACTGCAGCTAGAAAAACATTATCGAAAAGCTTTCCTTCTCGTTTCTGTTTGCACCTTTGAATATAGGGCCTACATACGACAGAATACAAAATAAACTAAGTAGGGGCCATCCATAACAGACGTCCACCAATTTTTGCTATTTTTTACCCCCCCCCCCTCCCCCT